CAGCTGTTGCGATGGAGTCAGTTCTGACTCACAGCGACCCCGTGTATGTGAGAGTAGGACTATGCTCCATAGAGTTTTCAGTGGCTGAGTTTTTGGAAATAGGGCACCTTTCTTCTGAGGTGCCTCCAGGTATATTCAAACCTCTAACTTTTCCCTGGAGTCCTGGTGTGGCGTTGTAGGATAAGCACTGGGCTGCAAGGTCAGTTTGAACGGCAAGATAGGTGGTTCAAACACACCAACTGCTTCTCAGAAAACCTACACAGGGTTGCTATTAGTCAGACTGGACTCAAGGCCACTTAACTACAGTAACAACAGCTTTTCATTAGCAGCCAGGCACTAATTATTTGCACCACACTTGGACTCCTGTAAGGGTTGTTATTGTTAAGTGCCATTCATGAGTTCTGACTCATTGCTACCCTGTATAGGATTTCCAAGGAGCATCTGATGGGTTTGAACCACCGACCTTGGGGTTCAAATCCACTTTGTGGTCCAGTGCTTATCCTACATTGTCACACCAGGGCTCCATCCCATAAGGGTAGCATTTTCTAATTTAACTTCTTCCTCTTTAGCCTTTTCATTGTTGTGGAAATTGACAGAGTAATGTTGCTATGGTGATTTGCCAGATAACTTGTAGTTCTGATGAGATGATTTTCTTTAGTCTACAAAGATAAAGCTATTGTTGAAGATGATTTAAGAGCACTTTTGTAACTCAAGAGACTTTAAAAACATTCAAATAAAAAAAAGTGGCAAAATCAGAGAGGAAATGTTAAAGGTTTTGAACTGATATTCAATCTGCTCAAGCTTTCTTCTCTCACTCCAGAATGAAATCAGGTGGTTATTTCAGTCTTTCATTTGCTGAAAATAAGTTTCTTTCTTACATTAAATGAAAACACAAATACGAAACAATATCCTAACCTACCCCCTGGAGTCCTGGTGTGGCACTGTGGTTTAATGTGCCAGACTGCAAAGCCGTTTGAACTGCAGGGTCAGAGGTTCAAGCTCACCTGCTGCTCCTCGGAAACCCTATACTGGGTTGCTATGGGTCAGAACTGACTCGATGGCACTTAATAACAACAACAGCAACACACCTCCTTTCCTGTGATATTAACAGGAGAGTTGTCACCAATGTTTGCAGGTGGTAGTGGCTGTTGTTGGGTGCTGTTGACCCCATGAGGCAGTTGTACTCTGTAGGATCTCTAAGATTCCGATTTGCAAGTAGCCTTTCAGAAAACAAGCACCCATTCTGGGAGCAGTTATGAGCTATTTCCTCTACAAATATTACAAGGGAATTTACCAAAGGATAACAGAAATGTTTTAGCTAAAGATCACATCTTTGCTGACTTTACATTTAGGTATATCCCCTGTGGCTTTTCTGAGTGAAGTGGTTTTGCTTTAGTTTGAGTTTGTAAATGTCTTTCTCTTTGATGCTAGTTTACATGACAAGTCCAACTTTAGGGAAAGAGTATCAGGAAATAGAAAGGAGCCCTTACTTCCTCTGATGGCATGCCCTATGAAGTCGTCATCTCCAAACCTGAACCTTCTTATGAGAATGAGATGCTTGCCCTCCAAAAGACTCCTCAACACAAGCCCAAGGAAGCTTCCATCTACTTCCAGGTTTAAGGAGTCCACTGCATTTAATGTTCAACAATTTCTGCTAATGAAATGTAGGCATGCACTTACAAAGGAAATCCATGTAGTATCCATTTCCTTTTTGCAAAAATGAGTATCTATTTCCTTGCCTAGTAAGTTGTTCATAAAGAACTAGCATCCATCGGTGGTTTTTGCTTCCTGCCTCTCTCTAAATATCTGCAAGCAGAAGTGTTTACAATTAGAATAGTTTGAATATTGATCATCCCCATTCTTCCTCGTGACTCGGAGGACTTTCTTAATCTAACCTCAATCCCTCAATCCAGATTGGTCCCACCATTCATCACTTGCATTGCTTTGGATGAGTTTACTTACTGGCTCCGGGCCTTAGTTGAGTCTTTATTTTTTTTAAAAAAGGTGGTATTAATCATAGTGGAGCAGTTTTGGTATGGTACTGTAGGATAAGCACTGGAAAGCTAAGCACATATTGATGGTTCAAAACCACTAGCCGCTCCTTAAGACACCCTGTGCAGGGTCACTATGAGTGGAAACTGACTCGAAGGCATTGATAGCAACAACGGCAATAGTATCCCCTGCAGCTAACAATAGCAACACCATGGCATAGGGTGGGTGTGTGAAGTAAAGTATTTAAGATATTACAACACTACAAGTCCTCTGTGGGTGATGTAAATGGTATCAGATGTAAAGGGTTAGCAGTTCTGAGCTCACATAAAGACGACAAGAAAGAAAGGTTTGGTGATCTACTTTGGAAAACTGAGCCATTAAAAACCCTTTGGCGTGTGTTCTGCTCTGATACACATGGCGTTGCCATGAGTTGGAATCTACTTGATGGCAGCTGGTTAGTAGAACACCTCATAGCACTTACACCAAAATGCCAAGCCCTGTACTCTCTGAGTCAATTCCACTCACAGTGGCCTCTCACACTCTTGGTAAATGACAACTATCATTAGCTATAGGGTCGCTCTGAGTAAGAATCCACTTGTCAGTGGTTTCTGGTTTAGGTCTTGTTTTGTTTTGATCACGTGTTACTAATACAAAGCCTCCACTCCAGTTAGGTCAGCCATGTGCAATCATCCCTGGACTGTTCGCCTTCCTTCCCGCCACCAGTTGTTTGTGGTTAGGAGCCTTTGAGTTGATTTTTGACTCAGAGCAACCACTTGTGACAGCGTAAAACTGCCCCAAAGGGTTTTCTAGGCTATAATCTGTGCTGGAGCAGGTCAGCAGTCTTCCTGCCGAGTCACAGGCTGAGTCAAACCACCAGCTCTTCAGTGAACAGCCTCTTGCTTAACTGTTGTTCTACCAGGACCACAGTTGTGGGATGTGCCATCCACTATATTAATCCATCTTGTTGGAGATATTCCTCTTTTTCATTTACCCGCCACTTAAGCAAACTTGCAATTAATTTTAGTAAGAACGGAGTCCTGATAATGGTGCAAACCTCAAAGTTGGTGGTTCAGCTGCTCCTCAGAAACCAAATACAGGGTTTATGAGTCAGAGCCGGCACCATAGCACTTAACAGTAACATACTAGGGTACTTAAAAATGTTCATGGGGAAATTAAATTGAAAGATAATATAATATTTGCATGAACTTTTCAAGCATCCTGGTATTTCTTTAACCTGTTGTATCCAAAATATTATCATTTCAACGTGTGACTAATATAAAGATTATTAATAGACTATTTCATTTCCTTTTGCTTTGAACATCCCGTGTGTATTTTCCATTTAGAGTACCTTTCACCTCAGACAAGTCTCATTTTAAGTGCTGACTTGTCACAGGGACCAGGGTCACCAATGAGAGTAAGGAGGTGGTTTTACTAGGTTGTGAAGTGACTAACTCCCTTAAATAATGGCTAACGCATGCTTAATGCTTACAGGACGATGCAGGATACTAACTATATTAAGTTGTTGTTGTTATGTACTGGTTGAGTCAAGGTTGACTCATAGTGACCATCTATAGGGTTTCCAAGACTGTAAATCTGTGTGAGAGCTGCAGAAAGACTCATCGTTCTCTCATGGAGTAGCTGGTGGGCTCAAACCGTTGACCTTGTGGTTCGAAGTCCAGTGCTTTTCCTATTGAGCCACCATGCTCCCTATGCCAAGTTCTGCTATGCTAATACTAAATATGTCTCCTTCAGTCCTGGTGTGCCACTGTAGGATACGTACTTGACTGCAAGGTCGGCTTGAGCCACAAGGTTAGCTGTTTAAACTCACCAGACACTCCTCAGAAGCCCCGTACAGGGTCACTATAAGTCGAAACGGACTCAACAACACTTAACAGCAACAACAACAATCTTTATGACAGCCGCCTTTGGCAAGTACTTTTATTGCCCACGTTTTATAGGTGAGAAAACTGAGATATAAAGAAGTTAAATAGCAGCTCTTACGTGGCGCTGTGAACTAATGCGTCAGACTTCAAAGTCATTTGAACTGCAAAGTCGGAGGTTCAAGCTCACCAGCTGCTCCTCAGAAACCCTATACAGGGCCACTATGGGTCAGAATCAACTCGACGGCACTTCACAACAACAACAACCTGTGGAGGAAGCAGGATTCCACCAAAGTTGGCTTTGCCCCACTGTTGTTGTTGTTATGTGCCATGGAGTCGGTTCTGACTCATAGAGACCCTGTACAGGGTTTGGTTTGCAAGGCTGTAAATCTTTGCGAGACAAGAAAGCCTCATCATTCTCTTGAGGAAGAGCTGGTAGTTTTGAACTGCTGACCTTGCGGTTCACAGACCAATTTGTAACCACTATGCTACCAGAGCTCCATATTATCACCGTCTGCCTATTGCCTTCCAGATTGGAGCGTGAAGCAAAGCTCTGTCTTTTCTTTAGGGTCCTAGAAGGGTGTGTGAACATTCAGCAAGTTGGCAAAAGTGTGCAATTTGTTAAGCATAAGAAAGGTCACAAACAGAATCTTCTGGGATTTTCCCCAAAGGAATTCATGCAGTTGGTCACCCTATAGAACAGTATTTGTTTATTTTATGTGGATTGTAATTCGATGGTATCTGTGCTCTTCTGATCTCTGAGAATGAGGACTGGCATTGGAAAGCTTATTTAGACAACATCTGGAGAGTCCTTGAAAGTAAACACCTATGTGAGTGGGGATCTTTCCATCACAGTCAAGGCCAAACGGGGAAGAGAGGATGATCTTTAAACAGCACTTAAAACCAAACCTAAAAAGGATCTACTTGCATCTACTGGCAAGAGCTCACAATTGTAACCTCTGATTTAAAATCGGGATCACTTTTCCAATTGGAAATGTTAACTCCATTTTATGAGTATTGCTTCTACAGTTTAAATGCTGTTAAGTCTGCACAGCCAACTCTCCTCCCTCTCCTCTGGTATGTCTGAACTACTGCTTTTTTTTTCTTGTTTTCATTGTATCATTTAAGACCAGATTTCGACCAGAGTTGGACCTTGATCAAAGAACAGATCCCAATGGATTCCATGGTTATCAAGGGCCTCGTTCCAGATACCAACTACCAGTTTGCTGTGAAGGCCATAAATCCCTATGGTTCAAGTCCCGCCAGCCAGCCTAGCCACACCATCCGAACCATGAGTGAGTATCATACCCTTCCACGTGACAGAATTAGCTGCATTTCTAGGGTTGTCTTACTGTCTTAATGTCCTGAGTAGAACAGAGGGTTAACCAAAAGGTTGGTTAGTCCACCCAGAGGTGTCTTGGAGGAAAAGCCTAGTATTCTACTTCTGAAAAATGAGTCATTGAAAAACGATATGGAGCCATTAAAAACCCACATGTGTTTGTTCTACTCTGACAAACATGGGGTTTCCTTGATAGGAGTCAGCACAATGGTAACTGGTTTATTGCCTTTCAGAAGGACAGTCCCAGGCTTGCATGGTCGGGTTTTCTGAAATCTTTGGAGGTTCAAATTCCTTAACATGGACACAGACTCTTTCTGTGTATAAAAGACTACCAGAAGATTTTTTTTTTTTTCTTAAATGTTTTATTGTGAATTATGTGATAGTTTACATGGGAGAA